GATGGTGATGACGAGCATGTGTTTCAAGATGCTGCTGATGACGATGGTGATGACGTGCATGTGTTTCAAGATGCTGCTGATGACGATGGTGATGACGAGCATGCGTTTCAAGATGCTGCCGATGACGATGATGACGAGCATGTGTTTCAAGATGCTGCTGATGGCGATGGTGATGACGAGCATGTGTTTCAAGATGCTGCTGATGACGATGATGATGATGACGAGCATGTGTTTCAAGATGCTGCGATGACGTTGATGATGACGAGTATGTGTTTGAAGAAGCTGGTGATGACGATGATGATGACGTGCATGTGTTTCGAGATGCTGCTGATGACGTTGATGATGACGAGTATTTGTTTCAAGATGCTGCTGATGACGACGGTGATGATGAGCATGTGTTTCAACATGCTGCTGATGACGATGGTGATGACGAGCATGTGTTTCAAGATGCTGTTGATGACGATGGTGATGACGAGCATGTGTTTCAATATGCTGCTGATGACGATGGTGATGACGAGATGCGTTGGGAGCAACGCGTTGTCATAATGAGCTTCACAGAGCACAGTCGAGTGGGAAGCACAGCCCACCAGACTAAAGGGAATAACTCCCTGGGGCTAGGCACCCATAGCAGATTCCATAAGTTATCCTCTCTTTACCTTTCTTCGTCCTCCTCCTCCTCCTCCTCCTTCGCCTCCCTCTCTTCCTCCTCACCCCTCTTACTTCCAGTGGGTGGGCGCCGAAGCGCGTTCCAGAGAGATTAATAAGCCTTAATATCTCGATTCTCCGGCTTCCGGAGGCCCGAAACAAACATTAGCGGATTACAAATTGATTTCTTTTGTTGTTGAATTACACAAGGGAATCCTTTTTGTGGTGAACTACACATTGTTTTATTTTGTGGCAGATTACAAAAGGATTCCTTTTGTGGAGAATTACAAAAGGACTTCTTTTGTGGAGGATCACATGATGATTCCTTTTTGTGGCGAATTACAAAAGGGAATCCTTCTGTGGTGAATTACAAAAGGATCTCTTTTGTGGAGGATTACAAAGGGATCCCCCTTGGTGGAGGAATACAAAGGGATCCCTTTTGTGGAGGATTACACATTGATTTCCTTTGAGGGTTCTCCTGGAAGTGAACCAGGGGACAAAAGGAAAAAAACAAAAAATCAGAACATTTTTGAAAATTAAGAAAATTGCAAGTTTTCAATGAATTTCCAATGGTTTGAAGCAAAAAACATAAAAAAAACAGCATTTCCAAGGTTTTGAAGCCGAGACCATATGAAAACACCGCATGTTTGCATTCGGATTGTGAAAATGCTGTGTTTTTTTATATGTTTTTGCTTCAAAACATTGGAAAATCATTGGAAACCTGCAATTTTCTTAATTTTCAATGTTTTTGTTTTGTTTTGTTCCTTTTGTCCCCTGGTTCACTTCCAGGAAAGCACTCAAAGGAAATCAATGTGTAATCCTCCACAAAAAGGAATCCCTTTGTATTCCTCCACCAAGGGGAATCCCTTTGTAATCCTCCACACCAGGGATCCTTTTGTAATCCTCCACAAAGAGGAATCCTTTTGTAATCCGCCACAAAAGGAAACAATTTGTAATTCACCATGAACAGAATGCCCTTGTAATTCCCCACAAATGAACTCAATTTAAAATGTGCTACAACAGGAATCGTTCTGCATTCCACTACTTTGAGCAATCCCTTTACAGATGACGAAAAGCATAATCAACAGGAAAGCAAGCACATCAGAAGTAATAGACCAAAAACCGGGGTGGTACACACACACACACACACACACACACGGTTTTATCAACCTTACGGGGGGGGGGGGCGCCAGCGCAAGGCAGCCGGCGGGCGCCTCGCCGCCCGCGCCCGGTCTAATATCTTGTGCGAGAACAAGGCCGGCGGAGCACCATCCCACATCGGTTTTGGCGGCCACCCCAGCCGCGAAGGAAAATCCCTCCGAAACAGGAGAGGAAGAGTCAACGATCCGCCGACGGAAAAGGAGAAGAAGGAGGAGAGCTCACCATGACCCTGTCTACACTGACGCGCACGCCAGGCGCTCTGTATAGAAGCTTACTTCAGCGCACCCGACGATGTCACCATCTTGCCGTTGTCCCCCGCGCGAAGTCACGCATAAAGCTGGGCTCGTGCAGCCGCGAGGTAGCGTGCAGCCACGATGATGAGGTCCTACGTTGGGCCGGCGCATCACCCCATATGCGCCAGCGGGCGTGGGCAAGGCATGTTTTCTTGTTTGGTCACAAACAAATTACTGCAAGGGCCCGCCGACCCCCGACAGTGAAACATCCCGGGCGCTCTTCAATGAGGCGCTCGGCAGGAACAATCGCGGCGGGCTGTCAGACTGAAGCCGCGCGGGGCGGTGACTGCGTAGGAAGCAGAAAAAGAAGGGGAGCAGGGAGGCGCCGCTGGCCGCAGCATGCCCAGGAAAGAGAGGAGAGTTAGAAGTGCAGGCGCGCAGCGTAGCTAGGCGCATCGCATGCCCAGGGCGATGTCAGAGCCGCATCTCGCCGAAACTGGGTGGTGCCCCACATTCGGCGTTACTGGCGATACCGTTTCTCGTTCCATGAACTCCATGGGCTCTCGGTTGCTCGGTTCCTCATCCCAGCCTTGCCCAGTGAATCGGGTCCGTCCTTCCTCTTCTTGCCTTTCCCCTTGCTCGGGTGCTCTCCTGCTGCGCGGAACCCGGGGGCGGCGGTCCCGCTGCTGCTGGCAGCGCCGGAGCTGGAGGCGTTACTGACAGCCGTGAGTCTGTCAGCTGGGCTGCGATAGTTGGCCTTGGTGCGCACGATCTGGTCGGTGCGGCACGCGTCGAAATCTGTAGCCCTCCACGCGTGGGGAAAATTCCGGCGCTCGCCTGGCGGCTGCAGTGCTGGGTTGAAGGTCGGCCGGGCGTTGGTGGGGCAGGTTTTGGCGCAACGTGCAACCCGCAGGTCGCTGAACATACTGCCTAGTTCCTTCTGCGTCCTGGGGGCGAAGGCGCCGTCGGACTCCCAGGAGTATTGAGATTCGATCGTGCGCGGTGGTGCCTTGTACATCTTGTACCCGTCATGCTTCTTGGGCTCGTGGATGGTCAGTGGGTTCTTTGAGAAGGGTACCCATTTGCCATCGTTGAAGATCCAGTCGTTTCCCGTGCGCACGTTCTGGCGGCGCCAAGCGTCGTCGCGAGACTGCGTGGCCCGGCGGTCTGAGGACTTGTCGTAACTCCACTGGTCCCTGTGTCCGCGCGAGGAAACAATCCCGTCGTCAGCGGTGTGCCGAATGGGAGCATCTCGTTGTTCTCGTCTGCCGTTCTGTTCAACCCTGCCTCGCACGTGCCCTTCTGTAGGGGCCTGGTGTGGCGGACCTGGCATCCTGGGCAGCGGGGGTCTATCGTCTGTGACGCTGGATGTTTCGTCGTCAGCCGCCCCGGTGTTGTGGCCATCGCCTGTAGCTGGGTTTCCTTCAGGCTCGTCTGCCACGTCCACCTCAGACTCCTTGCTCACCTTGCTCGGGTCGTAGTCCAGGACGTCGCCGTCAGGGTCCCTGAGTACGTCCGTGGCGGCAGCAGGCTCGCTTTCTGAGCTGCTTATGATATCTCTTGTCGCTGCTCGTAGACCTTTAGGTCGAAACAGTGGCTGCCCGCTTAAGTCAGTGCCAGGGTGGGCAATAAAAAACTGCATCCCGAGAAAGGCGTTCATGACCGCGCTGATCAAGGGGCCCAGGCTCTTCTCCTCATCGCGTCTCCGTTGGGAGCTAGGGTCGCACAAGGCCAAGATGTTTCCTTGGCGTTATCAGCCAACGTGGCCATTCGCTCCATGAGCTGCTGAAAGGGAAATGTTGTATGGTGCAGTGGTACGGCTTGGGACGATTGGTCGAAATCCAATCCTGCGCGGGAGAATGCATGTGTCCAGCGTTCCCCAGCTAGCGCTGTCCATACGCATCGCATGGTCGGGGGCGCCCTCGATGTCAAGTCTGGCCAGCCAGTGGGCAAGTTCGTCTGTGCTATGGACGCTCGGGTCTGTGTCCTCGTGGATGGTTTGGTTGACGCGTGCCACCCACAGCTTCTTTAGCCGATCGTCCTTCCAGATGAGGTGTTGTGCGACCAATCCAGCGACCCATCTTTTACCATCCCATTCCGTGCCTGGCACCAATCGGTCGGTAGTGAACCCCCCCGACGGAAGAAACGTCCAGGCCAGGGTGGAGCAGGCTAGAACATTGAGCCAGTTGACGTCCAACCCTTTTGTCTGGCACCTCGTACTTGGTTCTCCAGCACGTAGGAGATGTCGTTGGCAACTGAGTTGGTACGCCTGGGGCGCAGGCACATTTGAACTGGTGTGTGTCCCCGTGTGCCGCTGTTGTCGTCGGTCCACGCCTGGAAGAACAGGTCGAGCCTGGTGTTGGCCACGTCTGGCAATTGCGGGATCCTGATGTCCGGAAGCATTTTCTTGATTGCGTCAACTCGTTCTGGATTGGGTTCGGGTAGTGGCGACGTCTCATATGGTGTCCTGCACACCCGGAGGTCTGCGGCCATGCCGTATTCGGCGAGGGTCCGAAGAGCAGACTCGGTCGCAGCCTTGAACATCCGCCGGTCTCCGATGAGGACCACGGACCGTTTAGTTCTGGTCAGGGCGACGTTGGTCTTGTTTGGCGTGTCGAGGAAACCCCAGTCGTAGGACCCGTTGGAACGCGTGGTAAGGTAGAGGACTATGTCAGCTTCTCCTCCCTGACTGGCGTCAATGGTGGAGAGGGAGAGCTGACCAGTCTCCATCAGGTCAGGAAACGTTTCGGCCAATCCCTTGAACGAAACGTTCCGGCTGGTGGGGATACTTTTTTTTACAGCCGCAGGCGGAAGCGCCAGCGGCGGGAGGTCGCGGGCGGGCTGGTGGGGATACGCGAAGCGTCTAGAATTTGGTCACATACCTGACTGATCAACTCACCTGAACGATCAACTCTCCAGAGGCGGCGGCGGCGGCGGCGGAGGCAGAGGAGCGGGCCTGGCCTGCTGGAGGCGGCTGCCGCTTTCGCACGCCACCGCGTCGTCCCTCCGCCGCCGACGCAGGGGGGGAGGGGCGGTGGGAACGCAAGCAGATCCGCCGTTCCCCCGTTTCTCATCCCTCCCTGCCTCGCACCGTCCCCATCCCCCCTCTCGCACCACCCCTTGTCAGCTGACCCATCTCGCCCTCTTTGCCGTCATCCTTCCATCAATCCTTCAACCTTGATCGACCCATCCTGCTTCCCTCCTGGTGCATCCTTCATTCCGCCATCCCCATTCCCTCCAGGATCGCTGGAACCCACCAGTCTTATGGGCGTAGGCAGTCCAGGAAGATAGTTTTGTCACCCATTCCTTCCGCATCGGGGAGGGATGTGTCGCTGCGCATGTATAAACACCCCGTCCCCGAGTCGACGTGCCGCCAACCAGGAACGATGCGCCCCCCCAAAACCCTGTCAAACATCAGGATACCTAGGAGCCTCAAATCCTTACTGTATTTCGGGCGTTACTGTCTTTCGTTGTGGCGAATACATGCAACGGCCCCTTCTGGCGTCTAACACATGCAACGCCTACGCGAAAAGGCGTTCCCTCTCTCCGCCATCTCTCTCTCTCTCTGTCTTTGTGTCCTTCACCTCCTCCTCCTCCTCCTCCTCCTCCCCCTTCCCACTCCTCCTCCTCCCCTTCCTCCTTCTCGACTGCATCACCCCTGCCTTCTCCTCCTCCTTCTCCTCCTCCATTTCCTTATAAATAACTTTCCCCTGTCGCACCCCGAGGCCAGTTTTTAGGGCTGGCTGGGCGTCTCGCCTGCGACTTCCTCACCGCTTACGACTCTGAGTTGAAGCAATTGCAACAGTTTCAAAGATGCAGGGCGGGTGGTTTTCAACATGTGGCTCTCGCCTTAGCGCCGCGCACATGCGCTTTACACATTTGCAAGAGCTTCACGATTGAGGGCGGGCAGTCGTTTAACAAACATTGCAACAGTTTCACGGATTGAGGCCGGGTGGTTTTCAACATGTGGCTTTCGTCTTAGCGCCGCGTACACTCGCTTAAAACAATTGCAAGACCTTCACGGATTGAGGGCGTTTCCTTTTCAAACTGTGGCTCTCGCCTTAGCGCCGCGCACATTCGATTATTTATTCTTCTTATTGTTATCATTACTATTTCAAAAAAGCCGTGGATTCACGGATTGAGGGCGGGTCGTTTTCAAAATGTGGCTCTCGCCTAAGCGCCGCGGACATTCGTTTCAAACAATTGCAGAAGTTGCACGGCTTGAAGGCGGTTCCTTTTCAAAATGCGGCTTTCGCCGTAGCACCGCGCACATTCGTTCCTAAACATTGGAAGCAATCACGAATTGAGGGCGGCTCCTTTTCAACATGTGGCTCTCACCTTGGCGCCGCGCATATTAATTTTAAACGTTTGCAGAAAGTTTGACGGATTCCCGTGGTCAACGTGACCAAACAAACAGCGTTTTGGAACAGTTATGTTGCTTCGCGATGTTGAAGTTCCAAAAATGGCATGCTGGCACGCTTCCAGATCGTCAAAACGCAGCAGTCAGGCTATTCCGTGGCATGGAACTCCCGAGACCAATGTTTTGGCATGCTTCAAGGTCTGCAAACGGTTCTTCCAACGAGGCTGTTCCCTCAATGGAAATGATCCGTTGTAGGAGCCTATGAAGAGGGAGTTTGGAGGGAGCGTTTTTTCCAACATGGTTGATGACTCCTGGATTTACACTGGTCCTCCTCCTCCTTCTCTTCCTCTTCCTCCTCCTCCTCGTCCTCGTCCTAGTACTCCTCCTCCTCCTCCTCCTCCTCCTCCTCCCCCTCATCCTCCTCCCTCATGTACAATAACAAATTATGAAAATATGATAAATACCCTCCTCTCTCCCCTGGTGACGTCCGGGAAATATTCGGTCCACCTCCGCGCACTGGTTTTTCACACAGGAGCCCCGAGAATTGGGCTTCCGCTTGGTTTTTGTTTTCAAAATGCTGCTCTCGCTGAGACGCTGGCTTCGTTTTCGGGCTACAGCTCGTTCCGAATCGTGCTCCCGCTGAAACGCTGGCCTCATTCCCGCGCTTCCGCTCGTTCCAATAGTGCTCCCGCTCCAGCGCTGGCGTCATTATTTCAAACGCCATGCCACGGCATGGTTTTCGGTCCTGCCAGTAGGCTCCGAACTCTAGGAACTGGCCATCCGAAACAAATCGGAAGTGACTACACATTCGGTGTCGATTCGTTGATTTTTGGGGCCGCAAAAGCCACGCCATGCTATGTCAGGCTACGCGCTGGTCTTCAACACCATGCTATGCCATGTAATGCTATGCCCTGCTACGACATCCGACTGTGCGTATAGAGAGAGGAGATCGACGCCGTGGTAAGAGATGGGAGGGAGGGATAGGACGTCAGATATGACGCGAGCGCACCTAGCTTGTCCGCACAGAAAACGTTGCATGCCCAGCGCGCTCCATCTGGTGTCCAGGAGAAGCCCCCCAAGCATCACGTGTGGTGTCAAGACAGTGCCAAGACTACCACGCCCTGCGAGCGCGCGACCGACAGAGGCGCCCCCCCCTGCGAACCCTGTTGCCGAGGAGCTGTCGTGCTTGGCACGCCGAGTGAGCGTGCCACGGACTCTGGTGTTGAGGGAATGCCACGCCTGCCACGCCTTGCGAGCGCGTCGCTGATAGAGGCCGCGCTGAGGGACCACACCCTGTGCACCCCCTGTGGTGTAGAGGAATTGCCACGCCTGCCACCCTTTGCGAATGTTGCGCTGATGGGCCACACACCGCGCACCTCCTCTGGCATCGAGGAAATGCCAGGATTGCCACGCCCTGCGAGCGCGTCACGCGTTGAGGCCGCGCTGAGGTACCGCACCCTGCGCACCCTCTTTGGTGTCGAGGAACTGCCACGCCTGCCGCGCCTCACGCCTTGCGAGCGTGTCACAGAATTGCCACGCCTGCCGTACACTGCGAGCCTGTAACGGATACGGCGCCCACCTGCTTTGTAGCCCCTCCGGTGTCGAGAAAGTGCCGTGCGCCCCCCGTGATGTCGAGAGAGTGTCACGCCTGCCACGCCCTGCATGTGTTGTGGATGCGTCTGAAGTGTATGAAACTGCATGCGTTATATATGTATGTGCGCCTGTGTCTGCATGTGTTGTCCATGTGTCGGATGTGTCTGCATCAGCTATTCTACTAAACCTGTCTGGCGTGTGCTGCGCATGTCAGATGTATATGGCTGGCTCTCAGGTGTGTTTGTGCGCGTGTGTCGGATGTGCGTGATGCGATACGATGCATCTGCGAATGTGTCTGATGTATGGGTGCAATGTCTGATGTGTATATGCGTGCGTTTGTGTGTGCATGTGTGGGTTTGTTTGATGTGCGTGTGTGCGGGTGTGAGAAAACAAGAAGGAAGAAATGGGAGGTGAACGAGACGCTGGTGGGTGGGAAGAATACCTGCGCCCCTTGGGGAACAATGCAGAGCTTTTCACCATACAACAACGCAACAATGCCTGCCCACACAGCTGATCAACGGAACATGTACACAACAGCGGCCGTGCTGCACGCAAATATCTACGGAGGCCCAGACGACCAATTAGCCTGGCGAAGGGCCCAACCATATGGAGCTGATAGTGTCGCACGGTCTGCCCCTCTCATCATAAGTACCGCGCCGCAAGAGGAATGGAGCATGGGGCAACGCAGGTAGGAGCCCCGAAACGTATCTGGGGTGCCCAGAATCCCCTATGGGGCCACGAAACGCATGAGGCTTGTACCGAAATCGCCAGAGGCCGCCGTGTGAACCTTCCACTGGGGCCTTCGGTGAAGCTCCGTGCGGGGCCACGTTCCTAGTGAGAGGTGCGCCGAAATGGCCCGAGGCCGCCATGCGAACCCTGCCACTGGAGCCTTCGGTGGAGCTCCTCCTCATGGGGCCACGATCCTCGTGAGGGTGTGCTGAAATGGCCCGAGGCCGCCATGCGAACCCTGCCGCTGAGGCTTTCGGAGGAACTCCCTTTGGGGCCACGGTTCTCACGAGGGGGTCGCCAGGATGGCCCGAGGCCGCCCTGCGAACCGTGCCACTGGGGCCTTCGGTGGAGCTCCCAATGGGGCCTAGAGGGCTTCGACGACTCCCAAAACGACCCCACGAGGGCCGCATCATATATGTATATAGGTCTGAGTATATATCCCATGGGCATCCACATCTCCCATGGCAGCCACAAACACGCGAAGGCTTGTATGGTTGACTTGCGCCGCCCTTGTTATCGACGACATTTGGAGACAACTGTACCAAAGGACGTCCGGAAACAAACAGCTGACGCCTCGAGGCAACTATACCACAGGACATCCTGTCGGACAATGCAGTGCAAGACGCTTGGCGACAAGTATACGACCTTACGTCTGGATATGCCACAGGACGCGAAAAGCGTCCAACATTGCACCCAGGTAAGCGCCCAAGGGGACTCCACACCTATCGAAAGCCCACAAAAGCATGCATTGCTGCCTCCTATATCCGCTCAAGGCTCCCATGGTCCCTCCCTGGCGCTTCCACCGATACGCCGCAGCTCGCCCCGATGCCAGTCGCAAGGTCTACGAGATGTTCCCTGCGAGCTCCAGGGCGAAGCCCTGGCGTCCGTCGACGGCCGATCTCCAGACTGGTGCCGCCGACGCTCGTGGGCGGAAAGAGTGTCCGCGTGCTTGGCTTCGCGGGCTGGGCCCCCGAGACGCGACTCCACGCATACGCTGCACTTCTTCGCGGATGCTCCCGCGCGGATGGTGTCCATGAGACCGCGCATCCACTGGATCGCGCCCCGAAACCCAGACCGCGAGGGCGTGAATACGGCCACCTTCGCCGCGCGCGCCCAACCGAAGAGGCACCGCGAGGCCCTCCCGCAGGCCAGACGCATCGAAGAGCAACTTCGTTTGTCGGCGCGCGTCGAGCTGGTGCCCACTGGGCCCTGCGCTTGCGGAAAATGCTGCGCCGAATAGCCTCGAACTGGGAAGCAGCACGAATGTCAGGCAGGCAGTCAGAAGACGCCAACTGCGCAGGTGCGCTGCCAGAAATGGGAAG